TATCTATCTATCTATCTATCTATCTATCTATCTATCTATCTATCTATATGAGTGAGTATATATGTATATATATATATATATATATATATGTGCATGTGTTTATAAAACCAAGGACAATAGGACAATATCCATTCAACCAAAAAAAAATAGAACTACACAATTAAGAAAAACAACATGAAACTTTGAGAGGACAGAATAAACGCTGTAACGCTTGAAGGATTTAAACTGTTTTAAGACATATTTGTCGAAAGGCCTGTTTTTTCCAAAAATAACCGAGATGCCATTACAACCTTTTTAACCTAAAAACTACCAGCTTCTTTAAAAACATACATATTTAATTAGTAATCCCCAGGCCTTGTATGAATAAATGAAAAGCTCATGAATTTCGGCCTGGTGAAAGGCAGGGAAGAGCAAACGGACTGTGCTTATGACAAAGTGTGGACGGATGCTCATGCCACTTAAGACTGGGTAGGCTACTTGGCTGCTACCATGTCCAAAGTCCTCAGCGTGATTGTCGATGGAGGGACCAATGCTGACATCTCCTTGAATGATATGCCCATACATAATGATAAGTCAAGAACCCCTTCTCCACCTTTGTGCAATTTGTTTTAAAATTGGTTTTCCAGCTAAGTTCAGCTCCATCAAAGATGAAGGAGTCTGAGTCAAAGTAGACTCTCATTTTGCCCCACTGCAGACTATTGTTTATCTGAGTTCAGAATGTATACAATATCTCAGTCTTTAAGGAATGAAAAAATGTCAGAAAAGAAAACAGTTGAAACTTGAACTAAATAATCAAGGATTTATTCTCCACAGAGAATGGAAATTTGGCTGAAAATATTGTTACTTGTTGCCAGAGGAGACATAACTGTGTGCATGCTATTCTAGTCATACATTAGTTTTACTTCTTGGGTTCAGTAAACATGGCCACACTGTGCAATTGTTACCCAGCGTGACTTATTTGGCTTTCTGAATCAGTAGGACCAAACACCTGTAAAGAATAGCATAGAGTTCATAAACAATACAAAATGATCCAAATACAAATGATAATATCCCTGTCAATTTCTGTGACGGTCACCAGCTGACAAAAAAATGAAATACAAAGACAGAAAGAAATGGGTATGAAAATAACACTTTCACACTTCATGTTTTTAAAGACTCACCTCACAGTTGCAGTTTATAAATGCTTTTATGAACTCATTTTTGCTCAGACAGGAGCAAATAAACAGCTGCAAATTTCACGCCAGTTTCCATCAATAGAAAGTATCCATCATCCACCTACTAAGATTATTACTTGTCAGGCATAGACAATAAAGCAGCAGACAATAATTCAAATTAATTTGCTTGATTGATGTTGTATAATTACAAAAGAGCATGAGAATGTCTGTATATTTCATATCAATAAAGCCATATTTTATGTAATTTTAGAATTTTCGTCATGAATAGAAAAACAATATAAAGGAGCTGGAATTATTTTGACTGTTCTGATTAGCAATAAAGAGAAGCTTTTAGTCTCCTTAATCTGTGTGGGGAAAAAATGAGAGTATTTCTAAATGTGACATTGAGGCAGGACTAATGAAGGGTGATAAAGCCTGCATTCATCTCAGTTTCCTCCCATTTTAATGCTGGATTCACATGGCTCTATCGCAGATTCTTTGATGTTCTGAGACGAAACACTATGTGTGTGTATTCTGCATCTTTAGCTAAGCCTAAAGCACCGGAGCTGCTTCAGTTAAAACACTCCAGCATTATGCTGTTTTCTTCTTAACTGTAAGAGCCCGCACGGTCGTTCTGAAAGGTTTATGGACACAAATGCGAGATGAAAAACAGGATGCAGGCAGGAGAGAGTATTGACATTATTAGACTAAATCAAAAGTGCTGAGAGAGCTTCACAGTGAAAAGCAAGGCAGGAATATAACAAGACTATGCATAGAGATGAAAACTGATGACAGATGCAAACTTTTTATAAAAAAGGAAAGAAACCTGGTAAGTATAGAGTCAAAGAGGGAAGATATGACTGAATCCGATTATGAAACAAAGTCAGAAATATGCTAAACAAGGATGGATCAATGACAAAATTGACACAAAAACAAATCTAAATTATGATTATCGATTAATCCTTTCTTTTATAATTAAGTCTTATAATGAAATTTCTATTTATTTATTGACAAATGCACCCAATGAAAGCACCATCAATTATCTAAAATCTCTAATGCAGCACAGGTTACCACTCAGGCACTAACTCATACTTGATTGTTATGAACACTGGTCCTGGCAACAGAGAACCCAAATGCACGACAACGAGGCGAGCAAGTTTGAAGGGAAAATCAGTTTACTTGGTCCAAAAACAGGCAGGGTCAAAACCAGGAGATCAACCATACAGGCAAACAAATCCGATAAGGGGGATAAAGGAAGGAATGCTAGGTTTTATTATAGTATTCAGAAAAAGGTTGGAGAATTAAGAAAATGTAATAGAATTAAAAAAGAAGATATTATTTCTAGGATAAGATTTGGACATACAGGATTAAATAGTAATCTTAAAATAATTAATAAGCATTATACAGGGTGTTGTAATTGTGGGAAATTAGAAACAGTCCAACATATTTTTTTAGAATGTAATTAAGATATGTTGTGTAGAGAATTGGGCAGGAATAAAATAAAATTAGATATAAGGGATTTGTTTCAGAGGTCATCTGGGGATGTAGTTTTTGGGAGTATTTTCAGTTTTCTAAGAAGAACGGGTGTGTTAGAGAGAATTTAATAGATTGTCTGATCCATACTCCATTCTGGAAGGTGGCGGTAATGCACCTGAAAGTTTTTTGCCAACCGCCATTAAAAAAAGAGAAGAAGAAGAGAAGAAGAGTGATTGCATGACAGGGAAGTGCCGGATCTGAAATGACAGGAGAATTAGTGATGGAAACAAAAACAAACTCAGTGGCAGAGTAAGTACATTACACTTGAAAGTTATGTAAACTGTATATCAGGAGTGAATTCAAGCATCGTAACATCATCGCCTTTTTCTAAACTGATATTTCAAAGTCTCAAGTTTAGTCTTTGCCTGATGTCATTTGAGTCTTAACAGAGACTGAAATGACCATGTTTGGTCATAATAGTATGACCAAAGGGGCTAAACCCCATAACTAATCAGTCTGAAGCATGGAATTAATTTAAGAGTGGCCAACAGAACTGTTGTTTCAATACAATCAAGCCTGTCACATTATTATGATTTAAGTGATTGATTTAACTTTTTTTTTAAAGAAGTATTTTTTATTGGACTGTCAAATTGTATTTACCGTTTTACCTAATTAAAGTCAACATAAAGAGAAAAAAAAAGGAAAGACTGAACATTTTCAAAGGAAAGTATAAAACTTACAGAGTTATGTAACTGATGAAATCCCAACATAAGATGTTTCTTTTTTTCCCCTGCATTTTGATGTTGCTAAAGAGAAAATGTATGACAGCCACTTGGCAGAGCACCATTGGAGGCAAGCTTTAGCATGTTACGATTGCTTTTCCAAGTCTATAAGTATTTTTTCCCCGCACGATAGCCTCAAAACTATTTCTGAAAAGAAATCTTGTCATATGCTTATTGGCTGTTAAGTGTATTCACACATTCTGCCCAAACTCCTGGAGAAAAAAACATAAATTAACCTGTCAGTCTTTATTTTGTTTGAGTTCATGACAATTTTCTTTTTTTTTCTTTTTTTTTTGTTTGCATGACTCCTGGATAGCAGTATGAATAAATTAAGGCAGAGCCAGCAATGCCAGCCTTTCCTTCTATTCTGGATTCAATCTGAAGCTAATCTATTAACCAAGCCTTCAGAATAATATCATTGAGACGCATTATTTTCACCTAAACTTCCCATTGTTTCACATTCCACATTTTGCACGTGGTGGATTAAATTATTTGTTATAATGCTGAGGTTCAAACACACCTGCCCCAGTTTATTAAAGGCAGAATACAATTGGTTTTGGTGCGAGGTCTATTTTAAAGGTTCATGTCAGCTTCGATTTATTGAAACAGGAAGCAAGAACTTCTGGACTCAGAAAGAAACATCTAAAAGTCACTGGATATGTAACTCTCAATGTAAAAAATGATGCATATTGACTGAATCCACAGCATCAAATATGCTTAAATTCTAATTGACAATATTTGTATTCACAATATGAAATTCTAAGTAATGATTTTATCTGAGAGCATGTAAAGTGTCTGATGCATACCAATATGTTCCTTTAGCTTTTGACCCTGTTATTGATGCCAATGCGAGTTGGTGAATATCCCACAAAAGGCAAAAACAGTATGCGGCCATCACTGCTTTGACATTGTTAAATTTTTTGGACAAGCTTGTAACTTTCAAATGCTCACGGTTCGCCTTTAACGTGAGTGGGAATTATTGAAATTGCTCAATGGGGTGCTGAAAAAGCATAAATGTAAGCCCTGTGACACCAGTTGTGGTCATGCTTGACCACTTTCTGTGCAAATAACAGCACTGGAAGAAAATGAGCCCAGCTTCCCACCCTTGTGCTAAGACCATCCATGGCTGCACCGGGGGGCATATCTCTCTGGGCCAGATGAATATAGTGGCCTGTAATATGGAAAAGCTAGAGATACATATCAGCAAATGACATTTTAAAAAATGACTTTTCTATGGGAGAGGTGATTATAATGGACTCTTTGCCGTGAATAAAGAAATCAATAGACAGAACAGAAAAAATTCTGAAAAGCTAAATGAACAAAGTAAAGACACATGAAAAACTTGCCCAGAGTCCTTCCTTTTGGCAGACTTCAGACATTCCTGCCTCAGTTAAAACATGTATTATATCATTTTTGTGAGCTAACTTTGTAAAGTGGCCTTTGGCCATTAGTTACATTTAAGACAAATGCAAACACATGGGGTGTGATGATGCAGACGGGATCATCTGCAAACGTTTAATTTCCTCATGCTGATCAACAGTTGGAGGTTATAAAGGGCTGTTCATGAACCCTTATTTACATTTTCAGTTGCATCTACAGAGACAGCTGGAGTTGCTAGACACGGAAAAACATTAGGTTTGCATTTCACCGGCTCGTTCACTAAAAATTAAAATACAATATGATAATATTAACAATGAAATATTGAAAATTGCCTTCACCTGGAAAAAAATCACTTTTGGTGAAGCGCTTTTTTTCATTGATTTAATCCTTTTTTTCAATCATTGATAAATCTGGTTAATATTTTTTGCATCAATTTATACCAGGTCATGTGGTTTATTCAAAATCTTAGTGGTTCGAAAGTTATTTGTGGAAAGTGTTAGAAAAACCTAATCACACAGACTTGTTCAGTTGCTGTAAAATTAGCATAAAGCAATGTATTTCTGGAAGGGGCACAACATAAAGCTTTAATTCTTTTCTAGTTTTTTTGGGAACTCCCTAGGCTGTAAAGTAAAATACCATTTAAATAATTTAAAATGAATCTAAATGAGTTGTACCTCAACTTGAAATGCTTAGATATTTTACTCTGACAATGCAATGGAGCAATAAGGTGTGCTGTCAACCAAGCTAAATTGGTTTCTTAGAATTACAGACATTATTGAGCAAGTTGTAAATCTGCTCTTGCTGCCAATGTCTAAAATATTAACTCTTGCTGAGGAGTGTGTTTTTTCAATAATTAACTTCAGGGGATAGCCTCATGTGTGCCCTCAAACTTAAAGATTTATTATTCTTATTATTTTTATTATTCTTATTATTCTTATTATTATTATTATTATTATTATTATTATTATTATTATTATTATTATTATTATTATTATTATTA